CACCATCGTCAGTTGAAGAAGAAGACCCACCATCTATGCGACAGAGGTATGCTATCATTGGTTCTGATTCTTTCAATATCTGAGCCATGGTTCTTCGATTTGGAGTTCTGGGATGAATTCTGATATGGTTTCAATGGGTTTGAAGATCACTCCTCCAGATTTTTAATGGTTTCTTAAAGTTTTGGAATATCATGTGTATGAAGTAAAAATAAACAAAAATAAACGGGTATGGTATCCTGAGTTTTGATATGGATCTTAAGAACTCATCAACAATTCTACAACTTTTTTTTTTATTGAGTACTGTAGTTTTGTAATTTTCCATCAAACCTGTGCTTTCAATGCTCCATTCAACATGGTTTGTGTTTCTTGTGATTCATAGCTACTTAGTTTTTTGTTTTTCTGGAGTACTATAGTTTTGTAGTTTTGTAGTTTTCCATCGTGCTTTCAATGCTCCATTCAATATACACACGTACTTACTTCTATAAATTTCAAGATCAGTTGTGGGAGAGTTATTGCAATAATGTTGAGCTTATAGAAGAGAATGCCACTCACTGCACATATAAAGTTGTACATATGGATGACAAAAAGAAAAAAAGAAACCGGCTGATTGTTTATGACAAATATGGACAAACACACGACAAAAGGAACTGCCCTATGCTTCAAAAATCGTAAGAATGCAAACTTATTTGTATTTTTCCTTTTTTATTATTATGTATTAACCTCATGTGTAACTTTGTGATGTTATCTTTGACCATGATAGCTCTTCAAATGTTGACAAAGATGCTTTTAATGGCATGGATAATAGTTCTTCGTCACAGGTAATTATAGTTATACACAGAACTTATATGGAGTATTTTGTTGATGAAATGGACAATAATTCTTCCACTATATAAATTGCTTGTTATTGAGAATGATAAATTTGTATTTATTTTTTCATTTACTTTGTCTTGTCAGGATGATGAGTTTTTTGGATGATGTTTCGAACTCCAGTGATTCCACCTATTTCTTAGGTTGTAGAGTTGCACTGACATACTTGAAGAAAAGACTATGTTTGCCCAATTAAGCTTCCTGCAGCTAGCCTCCTAATGGAAAGATTGTGTTTGTACTTTTTGTTTTCATTAGAATGCCTTTTGATGCGCAGTGTATTGAACAAAGAAAACCATTCAGAAATCATTTCAATTAAAAGGAAACAAATTTGTTTTGCTGCTATTCTTTAATATCATAGTTAAGTTTTGGTGTTATATGAATGAATGTCTTGGATGAGTTTACTAGTACTGAAATAGTGAAACAAACTATCATATATGCCATTAAAGTTCAGAAAAGTGGAAGAGAAAACACGGGAAAACTACCACACTATGAACTGAATAAAGTTTTCATTACTAAGATAAAATAAACTTGATAACATCAAGTATTCATTACCTAAGGGAAAAACAATTATGTACAACATCCATTGTATAGGAAGTGAGCTCGTCATCCCTATACAAATTACCAACCCACACATACAAAAAACAAAAACAAAAAAAAAAACCATCCTTATTACAGAGAAGAGCTACAAAATCCTTATTGAGTTTAAACAAACACCCGCAAAAAAAACATCATTAGTACATCAGATGTTGAACTTCAAGAGTGAACGAACAAGATTACCCCACTACAAACCTGCAATGCAAGAAAAAAAATAAAAGTAAGACCACACTACAGTTATTAAAAATAATATTGAGTTTGGGACAAAGAGGTTAGCCTTGTATTCACAAAGCCATTCAACATAGAATTGCTTGAAAGCAAGGTGGTCCTTAAATTGATTATTCAATAAATTTCACAAGTTGGCATCCAGCAAGTATTCATCTAAACAAAAAGTAGTACAATCATTATCACTTTGAATGTTTCACACTGATAGAAAGCCACAAACATTATTATTGGGGTAGTACATTAGCAAAATGCTGTTCTTTTTTTCTCCTGAAAGCAGCAAAATGTATGATATAGTTCTATACATATCAAAACTATCTGTCAAGGAAAAAAGTGTCTGAAACATCCACATTTCATTTTCCCTTCTATTCTATCTGATGTACATAAAACAGAGCCCCATGAGATTTAACTAAGATACTGAACAAGTATAGCAAAATCAACAATCATCTTTTACCACTTTGTAACTGAGAAGTACTGTTGTGAATTACTGGACCCTGATCCTGAATTGGGTTGACATCTTGTTCTAGCAGCACTTCGTCCCTGAATAAAAAAATTGGGGTTAGCAATAAAAAAAAAACTAACAATAATTAGCAAGAACCCCCATTAGCAAGAACCCCCAAATTATGAATTACTCAATAGAACCCAAATCAAAACTCATCACACAACGCAAGAAACCCAAAATCGAAGTTCCATTAATCAAATTGTGTTTATTTTTACTTCATACACATGATATTCCAAAACTTTAAGAAACCATTAAAAATCTGGAGGAGTGATCTTCAAACCCATTGAAACCATATCAGAATTCATCCCAGAACTCCAAATCGAAGAACCATGGCTCAGATATTGAAAGAATAAGAACCAATGATAGCATACCTCTGTCGCATAGATGGTGGGTCTTCTTCTTCAACTGACGATG